AGCAGGAATTAAAAAATGTTATAAAGTACGCAATTATTAGTATTATTATTATTATTTTAATGCAAAATTATTAAAATAGCTACTAAAATATTTTCTAACAACAAAAAAAAACTACCAAAAAAAGAATTTAAGAACATATCAAATCGTATTTGAGAGAGAGAGAGAGAGAGAGTAACTTTTATTTCTTACATTAATTTCTTCCGTATCATTCATATCAATTCAGAAATATCACAATTTTAACTTTATAAAGTAGAATATAAATAAGTATAACGATATTTAAGTAAAAGTTTAATGTTGAATGTTAGATGTTACATATGAATTTACAAAAAAATTAGTGATATATGTATGCAAAAATTGAAGTTTAGATTTTAGATATGTAAATACAAATTTTTTTACTTTAAAATTTAACTGTCATTCATATTAATTTTCCTTGAAATTAATAGCTGGTGGGCAAGATTGGATCTGGGAAAAACTTTAAGTTTCTCGAGAAATAGACTTATAGAATGCTTCTTCTATGTTGTCGGAATAGTCCATGGCCCTGATTCTGGATTTTGCCGAGAAAAACTGACCCAAGTTGGCATGTTGATTGCAACTGTTGATGACGTTTATGATATATATGGTTCCCTTGAAGAACTTGAGCTCTTCACCCAAATTATTGATCGGTTTGTCTCTCTCTCTCTCTCTCTCTTCACATATCATTTTTTATTATTTCAACATATTTTTTTTTGTTTTAAATCATTCTCATATACATGTTTTTTTTCTTATGAACTATTTAGATGGGATATGAAAGATATGATAAAACTTCCAGATTATATGAAGATTTGTTTTTCTACCCTCAACGACCTTATTACTGAAGTAGCAAGTCAACTTTCGTTGAATGATAGATTGGAGGTCATGCCATATCTTAAGAGAGCGGTATTTTAATTTTCTTATTTCCTCATGCATACACTTTCTATATAATTTAAACCTTAGAAATTAAATAGAAATTTTCATACATACCATATAATTCTTATTTATTTGGGGCATTTACATACATACATACCACCCAATTCATATGTATTTATATGCCCAACACCCAAACTTTTTTTGTTTTTTGCATTTATACATGTCAAATAATGTATATCACATCAAAAGTATATATTAACATCTTAGCGTTTAAAAAGTGAAATATACATTTTCATACATAGATAAGATGACATGCACGTGGAATTTAAATTTTAGATGTTAAACATCAAAGTACGTTTATTTTGATAAATAACACCCAAAAATTGATATTTATGCTTATAATATCCTGATGTCATAAAGATATGTAGTGGGCAGATTTATTCAAGACATTTCTAGTGGAAGCAAAATGGTGTAAGGATAGATACATTCCAACACTAAAAGAGTATCTGCCAATTGCGACTCTCTCAGCATCAGGCCATGTCATACTTCTTCATACCTATGTCTTGTTAAAATGTAAAATAACAAAGGAGACTCTACAACAACTTCAAGACTTCCCAAATATCATTCGATTGCCCTCCTTAATCTTCCGCCTCTGCAACGATTTAGCAACCTCATCTGTAAGCATGCATGCAACCAAATTATGAATTTATTATATAAATATTAATATATTGAATTTTCCATTTTTTAATGATATGATATTAAATTTACAGGAAGAACGAGATAGAGGTGAAACAGCGATAGCAGTTCAGTGCTACATGAATGAAGAAGGAGCTTCTGAGGAAGAAGCTCGTATGTATGTATCAGTATTGATAAGTGACGCGTGGAAGGAGATGAACAGAGAATATTTTACTTGTTCTTATTATTCGAAGTTCCCTCAACAATTCATCGATGCTTCTATAAATCTTGCAAGAATGGCAAGCTTCATGTACCAGCATGGAGATGGATTTAGTTCTCCGGGACATCAGGTTAAGGCTTCCATAATTTCCTTACTCCTCAATAGCACTTCTACTAATTTGAGGGAGAGGGATTTGTAGCTTATATGCAATCATTTCATTAGCACAAATGCGAATGGGAATTTTGTTATTATCTCAAATTTTAACAATGTTTTCAAGTAAATAAGATATACGAAAAGTGCTATAGAAATATAAAATAAATTATCAATAAGAAATTGTATTATCATTGAATAGAAGTTTTATTGAGTTGATTGTTGAGCATTACGTGAGTGATATCACGAATTTAAATGAACAAATGATATAATGTTTCAACTAATATATTGAATTTGAGAAACTTATTTAAACTTGTATGATTGCTTAGATAAATAAATATAAATTAGAATTATATGATCAAATATGAGCCGTGCATGATAAGATGTACCAAGCAAAAGTTATTTCTCTCTTTTTACCAAATATGTTAGTTCACCTGGTGCACTATCTCTAATCCATTAGTGATATCAATCTAACATAATTTTCAAAGAAAAATATCATGCTTCATGCAGCCATATGAATACTCTCTCTCTCTCTCTCTCTCTCTCTCTCTCTCTCT